GACAAAAAGAAAACATTATAATAAAAAATATATTTAGTTGCAAAAATAAAAAATCCACCGAGAGCATAAGACTTCACAATTTTTGTTTCACATGTACACGTGTCCCTCAGTTAGTGGCGTCCAATTTTCTTCATTTAATGGAGCGTCCGCTCCCAATTCACTCCCTAAAATAAAACATATTCAATCTATTTCACTGAATTCCAATTATATGTAGTCACTATAACAGGAAATACGTGGTTTTAAATTAATATATTAAATTATAAATAAAAAATGTTTAGCATGATAACATGGAAAGGTTATCATAAATAATATATACGTACTTTAATAGATATATATGGCATATACTGCATATACAATATTTTGGTTTATAAATGTGTATTGTATTTAAAATTCTTTCTATATTTTTAAGGTTATAAATAAACGAGCCTATTTTTTGTTCAAAGGAAAATATTAATAAACCGTAATAAAGAATACAGATACTAAGAAAAATAAAGAATACAACCATTTCATTTATTTGCAAAATCACGTCACCTACCACCACCGCCCCTCCACACCGCCGCAACTGACTCCTCCATGCCAACCGCCGCCGAGGCCTCCTCAACACCGTCGGCCGCATTTTGAAGCATGAATTCCTTGATTTCCTTTTTCATTTGCATTTTCATTTTTTTTTTTAAATTTCGAAATGCATGAACCAAACAATGCCTTAACAATGTAGTATTTTATTTGGAGTACTGTGTGGTCACTGGAATTAAAAAAAAAAAAAAAAAAAAAAAAAAAAATCTAACAGGTATGAGTCTGACGTGGAAATGCATCCAGAGTTTGTTTGAAGAAAAGCGGCCTTCGAAAGCTAAGCCACTCGATCCGTGGAAGGGGAAGTATAGACCTAATTATTGTTGGGTTATTTTAATAAAAACAATATATTTTATTATAAATTATAATAATGACTTTGACCACTTTATGAGGGTCATTAGAATACTATTTTGAAACCTTCAAAGTCATTATTTTCCTACATAAAATACCATAATTTCTATATTAAATTTAAGTTTTATGGGGGCTTTACATGGTGTAGAGTGAAGAGAAAAACAAACACTTTTCATCTATACTATATACATATACTTTGAGCTTTTGTTGTGTGTCGGGTGTAAGTTTCTGCTTCACTTGAACGTGCAATTTCGGTGAAGTTACAGCGGAGAGATAGGCTGGGCTGTTGTATCCCATAGGCGACACGATCGGAACCTTTTTGCACCTCATTAGAGAAGGGGTCGTGAAATTCGTCTTAAGAGAGCGACCTTGTCCGCGCCTCACCTTGCCTATCTCCCATTATATTGTGTATACTATTGCAGCTAATTATATTGTGTAAGGATGGAGCAAATGGATCGGAGTACAAGTCTTAATCCACAAGTGTTGTGATCAATCGTCAAATTCAAGCCTTGGTTCCAACAATTTAAGACGAATTTCATCCCATGAAGACGAGATTTGACGATGATCAGAAATAGGCTCTTGATGATAAAAGGGGAGATGATAAATTATATTTTATTGTTATTTTGATTTGACGAAAAATTAACCATCTTATTTTTTGATATAGGTGAGTTTTCGTACAATTCACGAGTGCAGACTTTGAGTCAAATTTCGGACCTGATAATGTCCGAATTTGAGAATGTGTAGAGCACGAAAGCTTTAGGCATTTCTGTTGGCTGTCTGAAACATCTTGAATCACTGAAATCGGACATCGAACGAGAGAGATATGCCCAAAATACGGAGCACTGCTGCAGCTGCCAAATTGTGCGCGTTTTTTAGGTATTGAAAGAATTCGTAACTGAAAATATCGAATCAGGTATATTCTTCGTGTCTACATTATTCAATGTTTTTTCAGTAGTATAATAATAGTGCATGATAAGGATATGATAAATATATATATATATATATATATATATATATGTATGATATAGTCGACTTCGTTTATATAGCATATGCAATACACTCATGAATTCTAACTGGATAAAATATCACGAGCCTTATTCGGTTATGTATGAGAAAATGAATTGCTTTTAGTGGTGGACCGTTATGAAGTTAAATCGACAGTAACCTCCTACGTGAAGTTATTTGTTTATTTTTTTCATATTGACTGATCATTAAAAATTGAAACGTTTGAATGGAAATTGTTTTATGTGTTTAAGAATTGAATAATTATATGTGAATAACTCGGCTCAATAATTTTATATCCCGTTACATGCTACAGAGATTACCTCTATATAATAATTCCTCTAATTAGTCACATTGCATACAATTCTTTTTGGTCCAAAATGAAAGAACAAATTATTCTTTGTTCATGAGTGGTTGGATTATAAAGTTTTATTTTGCAAGGACTAATCTATTTAAATGAGAACTTGAGATATGCGAATTTGTTACTGATTTGATAAAATGGTATTATATTATTTTTTAAACATTGTTCTTAAATATTTTCTACCTCTAAAACTATAACCAATTTTCTTGAGATGGAGAAATATTTTTTTGTAAAGATGAAAAGTTTATTTCTTAAATACACTAGTTTTAATGAAGGCAACGAATATTTGCAAGACGAAAATTACTAAGTGTAAGACCTTACTTCATGCAAGACCAAAATATAAATAAATTTACTAAGATCAAGACTGGAAATTACAAATATAACCCCAATAATAATTTAGATATTATTAATTTAAATTAACCTAATTGCTATTGCAAGACCAAAAAAAAAATACAAAAAATTTTTACCAACATCTTCTTCTTCACCCTCATTTTACACATTTTTTTCCACAAAAAATCTTCCATATTCTCCAAAATCCTTATCACATAAAACCCTCAAATCTTTACTAAAACTTGAAAAGAAGGACATTATGGATACACAAGACATAAATATGGAGGATTCTAAGGTCGAAGAACACAAAGAGGTAATAAATATTGTACTTTGTGATCGTTTTTCTCGTTTTTCGCACCTCATTTCACGTATCAAAAATTCGACATGTACAGGTCGAAATATCCGCTTAATATCGACACAGTAGTGTCGAAAATTTCAACATAATTCGACACTCCTTAACTGTCGAATTATATTGAAATTTTCGACATTCTGGTGTCGAATTATATTGAAAATTTCGACATTCTGGTGTCGAATTATATTGAAATTTTCGACGCTGGTGTGTCGAATTTTCAAAAATCGACACCAGTATGTCGAAAAATTTCCAAAAAATCGACAAGTACAGGTCGTTTTTTGTAAAACCGCAACTCCTTCAACAATAGTGCTACAATCGAACCCTAGAATCATTAATTATGTTCTAAAATGACTTGAATTCATTATTCTAACAATAAAATCATGTTTATCACATTTATTTCTCAAAAAAAATTAATTCAAAAAGTAATTTCCTTGTTTTTCGTGAGATTATTGTGGCGGGGTTGGGGCAACAACGGACTTCAACGGCGACGGGGAGGTGGTGGACTTCAACGGCGACGGCGACGGCGACGGAGCGATGGGGCGACGGTTGAGTGCTGCAATTGATTTTCTTGTTTTCTTCTTCCCTTCTTCCCTCCTCGTTTTTCAATTCTCAATTCAATTTCTTTTTTCTTTCTTTTTTTATTAATTTTTCTTTTTTAAACTGGTCTTGCAAAAGGAAATTAATAAAATAATTTTATTTTGTTTGTATTTTATTAAGGTTATTATAGTCTTTTTATACTGAATTTAATAAAAAAAATTAATTTGGTCTTGCACTAAGTAATTTTCGTCTTGCAAATAGTCGCTGCCTTTAATGAATTGGTCAACATGAGCTTAATTGCATTTTATTAACATGCATTTTGATTTATAATTATTACCGTTTGTGCACCGGTCAAAATGAATTAAGTGGATTATTATACTTCTATTAAGTGAAGATAGTGAATTATATAAAGTAAGCCCATATACATTTGTGAAAGGTGTGTTGATATTTTTTTGTCTCTGTCTTTGAGAATATGTTTCGAGTAGTTATATACTTCATGAAAAATATCGACTAATGGGCATTGTTTATCAAATTGAGATATAGTGGGGGTGTTTGTAAGCATGGTCACAATTGAGATATATATTTTTTTTTTTAATTCACGATTTATTGGGTAGAGGTAATTTTGCATGGTTTTTACGCATTATTTAATATGCTTTTAATATTGAGAAATAGTGGGGGTTTTTAGTGTCTACCTATTTGAGCATGTTATAATTGATTTTATGGTAAAATTCATTTTGCACCCCTGTACTATGTGAAAGGTATCATTTACCCCCCTAATGTATAGAAAACATCAAACACCCCCCTACTTTTAACGGTCAATGGTCAAAATTTTAACGGTGTTAAATTTTGAGTGCGCAATGACTCTTTTACCCTGTTTTTATGTTTGATATAATTCCTAATTTTTTCTAGGCATATTTTTTGTGAATTGTTGACGATTTCTAGCGTTCGTTCAAATTAGGGTTTTTTGTCGATTTTAGGATTTAATTTTATTCTTGGTTTTCTTTTTCGAAAATTTTTCATTATAATATGAAAAGCTTTGTTTTTAATTTGTGATTCTTTCATATGGTTTGATTCCAATTTTATGGTTTCTTTTAGATTTCAGGACTTTTAGTTTTCCTTTTTGTGGGTTTTACATTTATAATTTGCATTTACCTAAGTTATACGAGTTTAAACAATGTGTTCTATATTCATCAAGTGTTGCTTACTATATATATGATTTTCGATTATCAGTAGAAAAGGACTCAATATATTAAACCAAATGGTTTTTTTGAAATGGATGGGGTTTTTTTCTTTCCAATTTTTGAAATTTTATTTTTTGAAATTTGTTTTAATAATGAATTGACGTTGGTGTTTCACTTCCAAAAGAAATTGTTTTTTTTTTTTTCTGAAATTGCTGATTTTAATATGTTCATATGTTTGATTTACACCCTTAGACAACCCAATAATCATATGGTAGCAAACTTGAATATAACTTCACACACACACACACAGACATAACTGGTTGTGCACATTGTTGGAAATAACTGGCAAATAGACTATAATTTAAATGTTCAGTAAATTACAACCACCTCCCTGAGGCGAATGGTAATTATGAAAAAAACCTCTTCTTTTTCAGATATTACATTCAGCCCCTTGCATTTCATAAATGCCTTACATCCACCACCTTACCACATGGTGTTAATGTAAGAAATCTACATATTGCAAGGGATGGATGTAAATATAGAAAAATGAGGGGTCTTTTTGTAAATAGACTTTTCCTCAGGAGGCGGTTGTAATTTACCCTTTAAATGTCACAAATTACTCAAACCGAAAAAAAAATCCAAAATCCGAAAACGAAATCCTATTCGAAAAGCTAAAACAAGTCTTGCAAAATCTATCGAAATTTGAATGAAATTAAAAACCGAGTTCCGGAGTTTCATAAAGGCTTATAAAACCTTCCTTTTTTCGCCTGCATATATGTCATCAGCTTTGCCCCATCTTCATCTCCCTGTACTCCTTCATCTCTCTCTGGTACCTCTCCTTATCTTTCAACCCAATATTCTGATATACCTGCATTTTAAAAAATATATATATATATCCATTCATTTGAAATTAAAAAAAAAAAAATTAAAAATTGACATAAATAAAATATAAATCTTTTATTTAAGCTTTAAATTTACCTCCCTTTCTTCCAAGGAGAGAGCAGTCCATGCATCGCCGATCATTCTAGTGAACTGTCTCTCGCGATTCGGGTGCTCCACTTTGAGCAGAGCGTGCTTCTCCGCGAAGTAGAAGTTGTAGCCACTCCTGTTGATTTTTGGATGGTCAGGATCGTTCGATCTTCTCCTTCGCCTTGTTCTAGTGCGGCGGTTGCTAAGCTCTGGTGGGTTGTACGGTACAATGTCGGTGCACGTTAGCGGTGCGGGTGGTGCAGCAGGAGGAGGAGCAGGATAGCTCGGGTGGTAGAGCACACCGTTCAAAGTCTCGTTACCAAGTTTGACCGAAACGATGTAGCCGCAGTCGAACTTGGCGTCGATTGTTCCCGTAGCTTGGAAAGAAGAAGGGACTTCTGCGTATACGAAATATATAACATCATTTAGCATATGCTACATATAAAAGTGCTAATAGATCATGCTAATAATACTGCGGTAGTCGAAAAATAACAAATTATTAAATAAATTGAGAGTCATAAATTGATAATTGAAGAAAATAGGTTTGAAATTCACATTTACAGGCTAATCTGACGTCACAAATTCAAATTCAGCGACATTTAGTGATTATTAATTTTTAGTTAATAGATAATCGATCTTTCTATATCTCGAGCAAAAAAATCCAAAATAAAATAAATTATTATTGGACTCCTTTTGCCAGTTAGTATCATGAATTGCATCCACATTAAAGTATGTAGACTTATCTTACTTCATATAAAAAGAAAAAAAAAAGTAAATAAATAAATAAAACTAATAATTGTAAGCTAAAATTGGCAATTCATGACAGAACCCAGAAGCGAGTTTAACAATAACGTTTGTGGCAGAGGAAATTAAATAATGAATGGTTCCTATTTAATTATTTATAATTATTATCAACCATAGAGAGAGAGAGAGAGAGAGAGAGAGAGAGAGAGAGAGAGAGAGAGAGAGCACTTCAATTAATGGTCAAATGTTTTCTACTCCGGACAAATTCCTACACTATAATTCCTCCCCATGATTAATTATCCCATCATATATGTATGAATACCCAATTTTACTATCTTTTGGTCCATATATGAACACCCTATAACTATTTTATATATATAAGTAATTTGATTTTTGAGGTACACATAGTATTTATGTATGTATATATAATGTATGTATAATGTATGTATGTATGTATGACGCGAGGACACGCGTACACGCTACTCTATTAATGAAAAATGAAAATAAGTGGTAAACAGCACACTGTAAAATATAGCAAATTGTAATAATAATCCTCGCTTTTCTATTTCATCGTCCGTTCCACGTTGTTTCGTCCAATGAACGAGTGTCACGTGTCCAACGATGATATCATCACTGAATTTAATGAAATATAGAAAGGGGATGATATCATCACTGAATTTAATGAAATATAGAAAGGGGAAATTTTTTATTTCTAACAAAATTAACACTATAATGTTTGTTGCATAGAAATTAAATGATTTGTGGTTCCTATATCATAATTATATTAGTGACAATACCCTATGAAAATTCTTCCATCATATGCATGGCCTTTAAAAACCGTTTTTTTAACCATATAAAAAGACCCTAAAAGTATTACATATTATGTATAATAATTAATATAAATATATATATATATATATATAAAATAAGTAATTTTATTTTTTGAACGCGCATAATATGTGTATATTATTAATGACATAAGTGATACACGAGCACGTACACGCAATACATATTAATGAAATTAAATACTAAGTGGTAAACAGCGCATACAGTCATAACGGACAAAGATTCTCTATTTCACAGTCTATTCCACGCTGTTTCGCCCAGTGAACGGGTGTCACGTGTACAACGATAATTAAATATCGTCATTGACTTTTAAGGAAATTGGAAAATAAAAATAAAAAAGCAAAATTATGTAATAATAAATAAAAAAAAATCATGCAAGAAAGGAAAAAAAAATTATATTTTTCGAATTTACCTGTTGTCTGCAGATTGGGCATGGAAGCTTGGTGCCTAAAGAAGTAAACCATTTCATAACGATGGAGAAGAGTTAGGTAATGCTTCCTTAACGCGTACGAAGCGCTCGTCGTTGTCGGAGAGAATTCGAACACCGTGCTTATCTCTCTCCATTTCTTCTCACTTACAACCTGATTTTTTTTATATATACATATATATATATATATATATATATATATATATATATATATATATATATAAAAATTAATTTTAATTTAAATAAATAAATAACTCGAAAAAAAAAATTAAAAAAAAAATGGAGTAATGAAAACCTTGTCGTAGCCGCCCCTTCTAGTGACCTCCACATAGAGTACATGCAGATTGAGTTCCTTCCCACTAATCACAGGGATCCTTTTTTTTTTTTTGCAGAAAATAAAAAAGTAAATTAAATTAAATTAATGAAAAAAAAAAGATAAAATAATGGGTAGTAAAAGATATACGTACGTAAATTTGGAGCCAATGGATAAATGGAAGCTTTTGAGGGTGTCCATGAAGAGAGTCGGATCTTTGGCCACGTCATCATGGGACGCCAGTGGGACCGGATGTGGACCTTCATTAGCGGCGGGAGCCATCACTTCCTCAGTCGACATCGTTTTTTTTTCTCCGGTGGGGAAAGAGTCGCCGGAAAATCAAGAAAGTACCAAAGTAGACAAGTAGTTGGCGGGCAAAGATGAGTAAATGTAGGGGCAGAGAGAGAGATTTTTTTATAAGTAGAGAGAGAGAAAGAGAGAGATTAAATATGAGAAATGGGGAAAATGAAAAAAAAAGGGGTTATTAAAAATGTGAAAAAGCTGGAGATGATTCCAAAGATAAGCTCGTAATTAAGGGAGGGCGTAATATTTATTAGGGTAAATTTCACTTTCATCCCTTGTACTTTGGTTCGGTATCACTTTACCCCCTTTGTATTCTCGATTGCAACGATTTGCCCCTTGCATTTGAGAAATCGTCTCAATGTGGCCATCGCTGTTAGTTGTCAGATATTTGACATTAATATCATTTGATCTAAGCTCTAAAATTACAAAAACGCCACATCTCCCAGTTTAAATAGTTATTAGAAAACAAAAAATAAAATAATAAAAATTCAAGACAACGAGAAAATATAGTCAACGACGCTAGCCACAATTTTTTTTTTTAATAATTATTTAAACTATGAGAGGTGGTTTTTTTGTAATTTTCAGACTTAGATCAAACAGTGTTAGGGTCAAAGGTATGAAAACTAACGACAAGGGCCACATTGAGATAAATTTTCAAGTAAAGGGGACAAATCGATGCAATCGAAATTAGGAGGGGTAAAGTGATATCGAGGCAAAAATAAAGGGGGAAAATGGAATTTACACTTTATTATTTTATTTTATTTATTTATTATTTTATTTAAATTCAGAATATAATTTATAAGGAGGAAGGGTTTTTGGGACGCGTGTTGGAGTGTAATACAGTGGGGTTTTGGCTTCAACCAAAAATTAATCACTTTGTAATTAAATTAAATTTTGTGGGGGTGGGGGGGGCCGGGGGGTGGGGGTGTTAATGTGTACTTGAAAAGCTGACAGAAAAGTGATTGGAGGGAAGAAGAGAAGTATCAAGTATAGCAGCAGAGGATTCTTTTTTCTTAATTAGAAAAGAAAGGAGAACCAATTGGAGAAGTAATTTTAGTATCTACTGACCTCATCATCATATCAATACGTACATCAAATTTTAATATTAAAATAAATAAGAAAATAAAGGATCTACTTATTAGAGGTGAGATTTAAAAAATATATATATATATATCTTTGAAACTTAGTGTAAAAAATTTCGAAATAGTTTAAATATTTTTCATAACTTTAATGCATTAAAAATGCAAACATCCCTTTAAATTGTATTTTTTGTTTTATAATTAATAGGGATGCCAATGTGGTGGCTACCGAATTGGGCATTGCAAAATTGGTATCCTCGCTGCTAAAAGAATATACCTGCATTCCTTAAAATATCAATTAAATATCTAAAAAATATTTTCTTTAAAATTTTAAGATTTAAAATTTTTACTTTTTTATATTATATAAATATAAAAAGATTATTACTTCATATTCATTAATGGACGAATTTCCAATGAAGTTACTAAATATGTATGAAATTTGGGGCCCTTTCAATTAAAATATATAAAACTAGGATTCAATTTTTTTTTATTAATGCCACGAGATGTGATATTTTTTTATTTTTTTTAAAATGTTGATAGTACTTGATATTTCACTCAATGCAATTATTAATATTAATAAATGAGAAAAGAAATTGAGATTGCAAGATTATAATATTTATCTGAGATTGAATTCTTGCAAATAAAATGGGCTTCTCAAGCCCATAAATGGGAATTCACTTAACTCTTAGTGGACTTTTAACTGGTTTACAAGGACCACAAATATATTGGGCCGAGTATTATTTTGGCAATTCTAACATGTAATTATCGAAAGTCGAAACCAAGCTTCAAAGTTTCATAATTACTATTACATCCCTTTGGCAACAGTCGTTATAATGTAACTAAACATATATATAACATTGATCGGATTCGCTTCGCCTGCTTGATGATGTCAGTTTGATTCTTCTTGCGTCAATTTTCAACCTCACTAGAATTTCGGCCGGCTGTCGTTCTTGCAACACCGGAAAAGGTTTGCCGACGTAGAAGCTCCGACGATCAAGTTAGAAGAAGGATTTTATGTATATTGTGTATTCTAATGAAAAAGCATTAGAGAATAGAAAGTTTGAGTGAACCTCGGCCCCTATTAGTTGACATTTTTTTCTCATTGCTCGGGTTTCACATGCCCATGTACTAAAACTTGGCTTCTATCTTTGGACCGCTCTTCTTGAATTTTACGTGCAATTGATTTTATATATACAGACGAGACCCATATTGACGAGATAGTCTATATCATACTTAAAATTACCCAGCTATATCAAAATAAGTGACGTTTAAAGCATTTATACATTTGTCGATTGGACCATATTTGAAAAGGAGAGAGAATTAAAGTAATGAACAAATTTCACATAATAGCCGTTCATTTTAAAGTGGGACCAGAAATGATATATCCCATGCATTCAGCGGTTTCTCCACGCCCCTTGTAATATTATATGAATGTGACAAGTTGCCCCAAATTTTGAGTGCTCCATAATTGTTCTTTCTTTTTTCATTATTTTTTTATTATTCTTTTTACATATCTAATAATTCAACTCAATGATGCATATGGTCACAATAAATTTCGATAGGTCCTATCTGAATCTCGTTCACAAAAAATAAATGTTCTTTTGTTTTTTATTTAAAAAAAAATATATCGGCAACCAACTATTCAAGTGTATTCAGTAGATCTTCGTTTTTGTTTTTGTTTAATAGCTTGCGAACTGTATATTTATATGGAACATGTACATTGAGTTTACAAGACGGATGAACTGTTAAGCTAGTATCGATATAATATAATCAATATTTAGTCAATTGTACGTGACAATACAATTTTGACAAAAGTTACAAGACATGATTAACTGTTAGCTAGTATCATGCCTGAAATAATATATGCGTTGTTTTTCGAACATGCTGAATAAGATCTTAGTGTTATCATACTTAATGTCAAGGGAAATAAGTATTGTAATCGTTCTGTAAATGATGATCTAGTGATTGGAGCAAGTGAACCAGTGTACTCAATTAACCTAAATTCGAATCTCTTTGTCAAAAGTCGCTAGGTCGAACTTGTCACCTATGATTAGCCTAGTATAATTCATATTTCTCGTATAATTTACAAATTATTATACGAGAGTGTATATTTACCCAATGCACTATATAGTTGGCTGCAGATTACTTATTTGTAAAAGAAAAAATTGAAGTGTAATTTACATTAAAAACATTGAAGTGCAAGTACACATGAAAATGACATGTGTGTAAAGCGCTACAACATAAGAGCGATTTAACAGATAGCGCGCTTGTCAATTGCGTAATATTCACTAATCTTGTTTTGTTGTTAATAATCATGATTAGAGAACTAATTGGGCTCGGGTGTTAACTTTTAATCATGTAAGGTGAGACCCACACATCATCTTATGGGCCCATATACGTTTGTAGCTATAATTAGTTTTGGGCCCATTTTATGAAATTTCCAAATTCAGAATATACAGTGGGTGGATGGGGAGAATAATGGTCCAATAACATGCCAAATAATTGAAAGGATAAATTACGATCATCTCCTTGAGGTAAAGTGTAATTAAAAAAAAAATCTCTTGTTTGTGATAAATTACATATAGCCTTCTACAGTTTGTAAATATTTTACATTCATCCCCTACAAAAGGGTGTTGATATAAAAAATCTACAAATTACCGGGAGGTGGATGCGAGTATGGAAGAATGAGGGATTTGTTCGTAAATAGATCTTATCTCAGAGGTGCGGTTGTAATTTACCCTAATTAAAAATGGAAAAAGATTAATGTGTTTTTCTTGCGAAGGAGTGAGAGCAACTCCGATCCAACTGGCGAAACATTAAAATGAATCATCAAATACTAATTCGTTACCATTTTTATTATTTTCATATTCATTTAATCCAACCACGAGTATTAAATATACTATCAAATTTTAAATATAAATATAAATATATTTAACATTGATACGTGTCTAGAGGACCCAATCGTTTTTCTTTAATTCACAAGTAAATTGCAAAATCACGTTTTAGCGTGATAAAGAAAATGACAAATACGCCCTGACATGCACATATTACAACTTACAAGGCAGTAGTAGCATGGTTATCAAATCGTAAATCGAATCGAAAATCGTTTTGTCAAATTTGCGAATCGTAAATCGTAACGAATCGTAAATCGTAAGATTTATTAAATTTCATTAAAATATTAATATATTAAATAATGTACACATATTTATGAGACATTGTATAATATTAACAACAATAAATATATATATATATATATATATATATATATATTGTTGCATAGAAATCTACAATCAAACTACAAGGTTATATGATTAATATGCTAATATTTAAAATTTTATAGTAAATGGACTATACAAAAATTTAACACAATAAAAACAAAAAGTTTAATATCAAAAGAATTTCATTTAATTCATAGTATTTGTCAATGCATGGCAATTGACGTGTGTCCGAGTAAATCAAATATAACATTGAAAAAAAATAAGAATAAAACTCTCTTGAATATACCTGCTACTTTATAATGTTATTAGAGTTGCAAATTAAAGTACAATAAAAATATTATTAATTTAAAAAAAAATACAATTGCAGATGAACAATATCAAAAGAAGAAAAAATAGTCATTATAAGATGTAAAAGTGTTGGTATTACGAGGAATTATCATATATTATTTTATTTGTACTTAAAATCTAATATTTTAGCACAATTTTTAATTTTATTCTGAAAATATATTTTTTTGCTGAAAATTGTCCAAATTGTAAAAATCGTACAAATCGAATCGTAAATCGTACAAATCGAATGCAAATCGTACGATTTTTTAAGATTTACGATTTATTCAACGATTTTGAATCGTGAAGGATTCAAATCGAATCGAATCGTACGATTCAAATCGTAAATCGTACGATTTTGATAACAATGAGTAGTAGTATGAATTGTTTTTGTTGTTAATTAAATTTAAATTAGATGTTTCACATAAATCCAAAACTTTACCTAGTTGAGGGTAAAATGGTAAAAGAGCTTGAATTTACTTAATAATGTGATTGGACACCTGATTTCAATCACCCATTGGCGTAAGTATGATTATAACTAGTGAAATAAGTGGGAGTAGGTTTACTATGATAAATTGAATATCACTTTCGAGTTTTGGGAAAAAATAATAGTATTGAGAAAAGAAAAGGGGCCTTCTTCAAGACTTTGCTTGAGAAGCAACTCTTTTACCATTTTACCCTCAGTCACGTTCGAGTTGACTGATTACAAACGTTTATGAAGTTACGAACGCTTATGAAATTACGACCGGAGTATGCCTATGATTTGAATCAGTGTGATAAGAAGGCGAGTTATTCTTAAAGACAAGACAATGAGCTAAAACGAGCTTGAGATATAAAGTAACGAGTAAGATGATAATTGCTATGTGTGTTTTGAGTTTTTTTTACCTTTAGGGCTATGTATCATACTATAATAATTATTTTTTACATGAAATGCTAATTATTGTATCAGTTTTACTATTATTGTCTAACTTCAAATCTGATTTCTGACACTTTTTTAGTCTGATTTTGGTAAAATTTCAAAAACTTGTAACTAGTAGCCGTTTGAGAAATTTTTTACTAATCCAACTTGAATCAATTAGATTGGATATTGGGTAACAAAATTATGAAGAAATGAATTACCTTTTAAATTTTAAATAATTTAATCAAAATTATAGGTAACGTTCATTTATGTGAATCTTTCTCACCCGACATCGAATCTTGCTGATTCAAGTTTTATTAGAAAGTTAACTCAGAGGACTACAAATTCTCAAGTTCGAATTTTGCCAAATTCAAAGTCGAAAATAGTCAAAATTACGTTTGAAATTGAAACTGTAAATATAGGTAAAGGAGTCCAAGTGGAAGAATAAGTAGTGCCAAGTAGGAGCAAAAGAGCAAACCCATAAAACGTGGCATTAACTGCGGCTATTTAAGTCTGTCTCATCTCATCCCCCATTCCCCTCTTATAAAACGAAGATTCCCAGAATATGCTCTTTCTACCCTAATTGGATAATTCCCTCCAACAATTCTGATTTAAATCAATTCAGTAAAAGATCCTCTATTTCGAAATTAATCCACAACGTAAATATATAATCCCTATTTTTTAGTTATATTATTATTTAAAGAATTGTGACTGCATAGTTGTAGAGTAGTACTAGGAAACAAACTCCCACTATCAGATTCTAATTCTGTTGTCACTAATTTGAAAATTAATTCCCAACCCTAATTTGAAAATCAATCCCTTATTTAACATTATCCAAACCCCAGCCCCCCTACCCACCCCACCCCCACCCCACCCACTAAATCTTCCTTTAAAACTAGAGAGAGAAACAATACACTAAATTCACACCTCCAGAAGAACAAAACCAGAGAGAATCCAATTATTCCACCACCACCATGATTTCTTCAACGCAGCTTTCTCAATCTGAACAAGAAAAACTCATCAAAAATCTCGAAATCTTCAAGATTCAAGGAACAGACAAACGCGGCCGCCCTATTCTGCTCGTCATCGGAAAACGCTTCCCCGGTAAGTTATTAATTCTTTATTTTTTTAATTTATTTATTAATTTTTCGTTAATTAAATTTGTGTTGTGTACAACAGCTGCGCACGTGGGAGTCGACGCGCTGAAGAAGCACCTGAGAGACGAGATTATCCCGGGCTTGGGCGGCCGCCCTTTCTCGGTGGTGTACGTGCACACCGCCGTGAGCAGAGGCGAGAACTTCCCCGGAGTGGCGGCGCTCAAGTCTCTTTACGACGCCGTTCCGGCCGCCGTCAGGGAGAACATGGGCACGTTCTATTTCCTCCACCCGGGAATCCAGTCCCGGCTATTCCTCGCCACCTTCGGCCGCTTCATCTTCTCCGGCGGCGGCGGAGGGTTGTACTGCAAGGTGAAGTACGTGAACAGGGTGGAGTTTCTGTGGAGCGGAGTGCGGCGGAGTGGGATTGAGCTGCCGGAGTTTGTGTACGAAATTGATGAAGAGATGGAGGAGAGAGTGGGCCCCACCGTTGATTATGGGATGGAGAGTGATCATCCTAGGGTCGTCAATGGAGAGCCTGTTATTGATTATTCTGCTGTTTCTAGTTACTCCATGAGGTGTATTGCTTAGACTAGTATATAGATCAATATAATTAAATAGAAAAAATATATATATAGTTTTCTTTTTTGTTGGTTTTATGATAAGAATTGAAAATTGGTTAATTTTTTGTTTTTCTTTTCCTTTTTTTACTTTCTAGATTAATAGCCATAAGATTCTTGATCCCCACATGTGATTATAAGAGCAACTCCAATGGAGAGACATCAAAATAGAGCATCAAACATTCATTTGATACTTGATATAATACTTTGATACTTCTAAAATAAAAATTCACTCCAACCACAAGCATCAAATAGGTTATCAAATTTTAAATATATGAATAATTATATTATTAAATGCCACGTGTCAAATAGTGATAGGTTAATGAAGTGGTTACATTTTTGATACCTCATTTTCCAGGGAGTATTTTTGCACCTCGGGGTGGTTGAATATCAAAATAGTTCTCCATTTAATGCCTCCATTGGAGGAGGATTTTTTAATTTTGGAGCATCAAAGTGGTAGTTTTTTAGTTTGATACCCCATTTAGTTCCTCCATTGGAGTTGCTCTAATAAGGACTTCATAAAACGTGTCTTTGGTCGTGTAAATACCAGATTGTGAATTATGCGTCAGAAATTGATTTTTCAGAAATTGATTTTTGCACAAAATGATTGTCGTGTAAATATCAGATTACGATACGTGCATCAGAAACTGCATTTTAGCACAAAACAAGTACAAACTAGAGATCATCCACAAAATCTAAAAGATTATGTTGAAGTTGATACCATACAGGTGGACATGTAAAAAGATTCATAGATGAGAGATGATTGTAATTACCCAAACAATAAGGATTTTTACCCATAAATCAATATCCAAGAAACAGCTAAAAAAAGAAAAAAAATAAAAATAAAAATAAAATAAAAAAAAAAATAAGTAAGTAAGAGAGTCATACAATACATTGTTGAAGAAAGTAACTTCATAGTAAACATGGAGAAGTTCACAAGCAAGTAGTTTAGCCCTGAAAATCGCTTTCGTTCCGGAGATTATTTTCGAGATATTATAGTATTTGTTATTTACATATATTCGAGACAAAGTATACATTGAAGCAATCAATATCTTCCACTCCAAGGATTCAAGTAATCACTCTCACCATCTTCAGTTTTCCTGAGCAACACATGCAGACACATACATATGCATCAGAATTTAGTGAAGCCAACGTAAGTCGAAAAAAAATTAAAAAATCAAGGAATTTGCAAAACAGTGAACTTAGCGACAACATATGTCTTGTGTGTGTTAAGGTTTGTGTGTGTTAAGGTTAATTAAATATCAACCAAATCCATGAGCAATTTTTCATTTCTTTTCGCCAGAGAAAGAAGTACGACTCATGTGGCGAAAAGTAGGTAACAAAAATGCAACAGTCATCAAAGCAAAATTTTAAATTAAACGAGAAAGGTAATTAGATAAACCGTGATTGATTTGTTCTACAACTATATATAACAAAATCAAGAACACTCCCTGAGAAATATCTATCAAGAATCGATAAATTAATTAACAATCTTCCCCTGCTTTTTACAAGCTTTAAAGCTTCCAATTGGAGTTTAATTAAACCAACACATCAACAATACATAAACCACGATTTGTACGGTAATTAGCAACAGAAAACCCTATCAATCGAAATGGTTTCACCCTTTACTCTACATAATTTATGTTATTCTCAAATTCATAAAGATCGATTTTTTGCTTTTTTGTTTTTTGCCATTTTCATATCTATTCGATATAGCACTTTTCCTAATCAAAATACGAGAAACAACAACGAGCACACAATAGAGAAGAAAATTTCACAAGACAAGGAAAAAATTGAGCTTACTTACATGTTTAGCATAAACTCGGAGTAATCCAAATCGGCCAGTGTGAATTACGAGGATAACAGGGGAAAGATTCAATACTCCCATCAGCCAAATTGTAAACACCAACATCATAATCCCCAGCAATACTATCGTAATTCGCACCCGAATAATCATCCGTAAAATAAATCCTATTCCCTTTACACCCTTTATAATCACTCGCCACCACCGAAAACGAAGAATTCCCCCCCAAAAACAGCACTTTATCATCCAAACTATCAATTCCCTCCCATTTTTGGGAATTCCAATCGAACTTAAAAACACGAAATTTCACGGTCTTGCACACTTCGAAGTAACGCTCCATATCAATTTCGAAATCCAAGTACCTCGATACCAACAGCAAATCGCCCATGGCGTCCACCAAATACTGCATATCTCCACTAATTTGCTGCCCTGTGTTGATGAATTTGACAATCGGCGAATCGCCACTAACAACATCGCAAATTGCGATAGATCCGAATTTATCAACAGCGTAAAATGCTCCCCTAAAATAAATCGCATCCTCGCTGTACGATCGAGCTTCGTTTACAATTTGCCACGAATCGTGGCCATTTTTGCAGTAGGCGAGGTTTTCGTGGCGACTGAGGATTGCGAAAGCAGAGAAATCGGGTTCGGTGTTAGGGTTGTGAGAGAGGATTACCTTTTTGATGAAGGAATCACGCATTTCCCTCAAACTGCAATAGTAGAGATTGTTTTCCGGGGATCGGAGAGTATATTCCCTTCCGATGCTGTAGAAATCGAAATTAGTGACGTTTGGGAAAGAGGAGAGGGGTGGAAGAGTAAATTTATCGCGGGTGAGGGGGTTGATTAGGAAAATTGAAGGCGACTCGTCGATGAGAATCAGCCAGCCGAAGGAGGATCCGGCGCGGCGGCGGCTGTTGGACGCTTCCGGGAGGGTGAGGCGGTGGAGGTTGCTGGTCAGGGGATTGAAGAAGCCGCGCCGATTGAAGGGGCGGCTTAAGGGTAGCATCAGCCATGGGAATTCGCGCGGGAGGTGACGCCGTGTTACAGAAGCGGCGCCGCGCCAGTTTTTGCAGACGGCGCGGAAGCGGATGTAATCGGAGAGGGTTTGGAGGTTTGTAGCGACGGTCTGGAGGAGTTCCGGCGGGAGGTCTGACCAGTCAACGGTGGTGGTGTTTGACATTAGAGTTGAAGATAGAGCGGAATAGATAACTTATGGTTTGGTTCATTTGCTATATCTTCTTTGTTTTATTTATTTGTTTATTTTTTGGGGTTCAAAGATTATAATAAAATATGTTGAAAGGATTAATACACTAATTATTTTATTCTTTAAACAATATAAAATGTAGTAAAACTTTTGATTTGAAACTAAATACAATTTGTTTTTAAATTAAAAAATTTAATAGAACGTAAGATCAAATTAAATGTTATCCTAATTGTTGATAAGCAATTGACAAAAGTAAGATCTAAGATTTATTCATATCCTTTTTAATAAAATAAAAATGTAATGCATTTGGTAAAATGAGTGGTGGCCATGGAAAGAGAAAACCACATGTAGATTGATCCAAAACCACAAAACTCTCAAGTGTTTGATAACTATCGGTATCTGTATCGGTATCACTACAAAATTTCATTTGTAAAATATTGAATTGCCAAAAATATCGAATACAAGGAGCAGGCTCCTTCGACTCCACACCCGGTGATAACCACCGGTTGGTCTTCTGGTGCCACATGTCATTTTTTTTATTTTTCTAAAACCCCTAAAGGTAAACCCAAGCGGGGAATATATTATAAAATACAAAGAAATGACAAGTGGCAGCAGAAGACCCACCCGGTGGGTGTAGGGTCGAAGAAGTCCAAGGAGCATAGCTGATGTTCTAACAATTGTTATTCCAGCTCCACACTGCATAGTTCAACTCAAATTTCCAGATTACGTAAATAAGAATCAAATCTTACGATTCAACATTGTAACAACATAATTTGAATCCAAACAAATATTTTAAAAGGTCTTCTTTGAGAAGGGTCATGCATTACTTAAAAAAACCAAATTGCAAGCATCTCAAAAGTCGATGCAAAAAGAACGGTGCCACAAGAGTTAACTCACTGATCAATGCTCACAGTTTCAGTAGCCTTCAAATCAGAGCCTGCACAGTTGTTCACAATCTCAGTTCCATTCCCATCAGAAACCGGCTCACTATCAGCAGCACGTAAATCCGGAAAGTTCCGATAGTTCAGTGAATGCAACCAGAGAGCCACAGCTCCATCCTTGTGCTCTGATGAAGCAACGTGAGGGTAAATGTACTTCATCTTAAACTCCTCAGATTCCTCTGCATAAGCTTTCATGGACACTTCTTCGTGGCTGTCTTTCCATTTATTATTGTACGAAGAGAAGAAGCACTCGTCTAAATACAATCCCACCTCAGGCGCCATAGGCACGTTAAATCTCACGCTCCTAAATTTCAAGAACCGAATAATCGTTAACATAAAAACATACAATAAATACAGCACATCAAAGAAATACTTACTGAAGGAAAGCTGTCTCCATCTTTGACTCGGGGGTGATATTCCTCATCATTGCAACAGCAAGGCCGATCATTTTACGTATTTGATGGAGCATGAAGCTTTGCCCCACTACCTCGCACTTGACAAAGTCGATCCCATCAACGTTAACTACTGTGTTTGCGTTAAACGAAAGTATGTATCGTCTAGCAGCAGGGTCTTCAGCTTTGGTTCTGGTGGTGAAATTGTGGAAATTATGTGTGCCTTCGTAGAATTTGAGTATTCTATTGAATCTTGCTTTTTCCTCCTCTCCATAACAAAACTCGCTCTTTTTCTCCGCTTCGGTATGGCCGTTGGCATTTTCACTTTCCAATTTATCAACATTCCTTTTCTCAATACTTTCATCTCCCGTTTCTAATAGCTTCTCAGTTTCACTACTTCCATTCTCTAGGTCAGTATTCTCGATTCCTTTTTCCGAGGAGTCTACCACAGTTTTACTCTCGTCTAGAACAGATACATTATCGGATAAAATGGCTGAATCCACTAAAACAGCTTTGTCGACCTCCATTTTATCATCTTGGGCAGCTCCAATCGAGACATTTTCAGAACCATTGCTTCCAATTTCATTATTCTCCAATGAATTTGCGACAACCTTCTCATCGGTTGGCGGACTTCCATTGTTCGATAAAATGCCTGAACCAACTTCAACATTTTCACCCACATCTTTGGACTCAAAACTACCAGTTCCATTGTTCGACGAAATGCCTGAACCAACCTCAACATTTTCATTCTCACCTTCACCCGGAGCTTTCGACTCAAAATTACGCTGCTTACCCATAACTCCAAAGACCTTTCTTCCTCTTTCCGAACACTCCAAACACTTGGCAAGCTCATTCCCGGACCCTAAACTAGCCAAAACACTCTCCCTATCACGATGGCAAGATGGATCCAGCGCAAAAACAGGGATCAAATAAACATACCTTCTCCGATCACAGAACTTCTTCGCGTTAAACGAGGGCGTCACCCTCTTGTACCCGAAGATCCGAATCTGGGGCGACAAATGTGAGTGCAACCGCTCAATAAAACCGGGCGGGTCGACGTAGAACCGACCCGACACCACCTGGCCGACGGCGCTCACGCCCTTATCGGTGCGGGCGGACCTTGCCCACTCGTACCGCTTGTGCAGGCCCCTCTCCTCCTCGGGGATCGCTCCGGATAAATAGAGGGCTTCCTCGAGGTCACCTTCGATGGTTTTCGCCCCTGGATTCTTCTGCATTCCTTGGTAGCCGACGCCGCAGTAGGCGAAGAAAATCGCGATTTTGCGGCGCTTGTATTTCGGCTTTCTAGGGATTGTTTCGGCGCCGTCGCGATTTTCTTCGTCGTCGCCGGAGGAGGACATCTTCTGCCGTTTGGGGTCGGGGAGTTCTTCTGATGGCCGGGTAGATGAATTTTCAGCCATGTTTATGAGATTTGGGGAGTGCAGGGGAAAGTGAAAACCTCTGTACCCTGTAAAACCCTAGAAATGAGATCGTGTCTGGTTTGTGCTTGAGATGATTGTACGTTGTGCTATGCTGGTTTTCCCATTTTGTTTTATCTTTCCTATTCTCGTTTTGTACTCGAGAGTTAAAAGTTGCAAGTTGCGAGGGAAATAGAAGGCTTAGGGGATGTTTGGTTTTATTTCCAAAACCAATTTCCAGTTCTATACTATTCATAAAACCGAGATCATGTTTGTTTCACAATTTTATCCAGAAAATCCCATTTTTTCCTATCAAATTTCTATTGAAAATACACTATTCATATTTTTTTCAATTTTCAAACCTACTAAAACCTACTACTAACCTATATATTTTATTTCACCAACTCATTTCTCTCTTCTCATTAATATTCACACTCTCTCTCCTCTCATTTCTCTCTCCTCATTAATATCTACACTCTCTTTCCTCTCAATTTACTGATAATAATAATAATAATAATAATAATAATAATAATAATAATAATAATAATAATAATAATAATAATAATAATAATGATAATAATAATAATAATAATAATAATAATAATAATAATAATAATAATAATAATAAGGGTAAATTACAAACACCCCCCTGAGGTATGGTCAAATTACAAAAACACCTCTCTTGTTTGGATAATTACAACCACCCCCTCAACTCCTCAAATTAAGTGGATCTTCGAGATTATATGGAATATTATCGCTTGTGTACCCATCTTATCCCATTCAAACTCTACATTATGAAGCAAGTTGATCATAATATGTGATTTTTCGACTTGTGGTATGATTCCTT